GGTATCACAGGATTTGCATGCTGGAGAAAGGTAACCTGCTTTGTTGGGATAAAAAGGTTCCAGAAAATTTCACTTTAAATCCTAGCTGACTAGACTGCAAACAGCTTATTGAAGCTTTCCAGCAAGAGCCATCTCCCCCAGCATTCTCCAGTCTGCACCTTATCAACAAAGGATGCCATTCTTCTCACAGTGAAATAATTAAGGAATCTCTGTTTAGCAGTTAGGCTGTTAAGATTTTAATAGTTTATCAAGATACAGGAACAGTGACTTACAAGGGTTGCATCTTGAAAAGCTTTTAAGGTAAAAAGCATGCATCTACATATAAGAACTGTATTCTCCTAAACCTACCAGAACTGTACGCTGTTCTAGCAGAGATACCATGAGAACTAGTTGGGATAAATTATTTTCCTACGCAGTTTAGTTTCCAATTCTAGTATCTTTTAGAATCTAATTAACATATTAATGTGTCTTAGTATTGTCCTTTTATTCTAACTGTATTTTAAAACTTTTCATATATAATATGACTTTTGAGATCAAAGGGTAAAACAAGGCAGAGTTCCATACATGCCCACAGAAACTTACACATCTCCTCCCCACAGCAAGTCCTCTCCTTGCAGCATCATCTGCGTAAACACCACCAGTACAAACTTACTAGTCATTTTCCTCACCTCCTTGAGCTATCCCATCTCAAAAAAGCTGCTTTATTTTGAAAAATGTTTACTTGTAAATGACCTTAGATCATCTAGCTGAACGAACCATCAACAGCGTTCTCATTTTCCTCCCCATCTAGCAATTCTATAGCAGCACCTATATAGCACCTCAACTGCTCTTATGTTTCCTTTACCCAAACTCTAAATGATGGCCTTATTGTATCTAGTCCAAAGACAGACAGCAAGGCAGCCTAACGGAAATTCTTACTCCTATGGATTATTTATGAACTGTGGCTGAATAGGGTCATCTATTGTATTGACTATGCTATCTGTGGACTTTTTCGATCAGGCAGGCAAGGCAGATGAAACGAGAAGTCTATGAAACTTATATTTAAGAATAATTAATAATGGGGAAGACTCCACTCCTGGATAAATTAGGAAGCATTGCTAGAGCTCAGGCAGAAGGCATTGGTTCAGTACAAATATGCTTTTGAAAGACTAGGGTATGCTCTGGCAATAGGATAAAACTTCTGCATACCTGAAAGAACGATAAGAAGAAATTACTTCTCTGGAGTAAACAAACACTTAAGATAGTTTGACTACTTAAACTGAAATAGCTTCTGCTTGTGCGTCTGCATTAGCTCCTTCGTACCATAACGCTGAACACAATTTTGCCACTGCTCCAGCACGCTTAAATGTCTGACATGAATGTAGAGAAGCCAAGAAAGTATAGGATGGCCGTGGGATTCATTCGAACTTGTAAGGCAGTATCTCTGATGTTCCTCTTGTAAATATGCTTTCTTGATTTGCTCTCATAGCTAGCATACCTGTTCATTTGTGTATAGTAAATAGCATCTTTGGGAGAAAAATCTATATAATTAATATATCAACTAGAGTGTTCTTCTGATATCAATAACGTCCATTGAATTCTCCATAAATTCTCTTTCATAACTAATAGGAATCATGAATTAAGCATAAGAATTAGAAAAGCTTAAAAACATTCAAAGTTCATAAATCCTAACCATACAGCATTAAATATTTATTTCTAAAAAAACACTGTCACTGATTCAACTGAATCCACCATCAGTCCGTGTACGCATAGTGAATACATAACTTTGGTAACCCCCTAGCAACAGGCTGCATTAGCTGTCCTTGAAAGTTTGTAGGTACCAGTGTGGAAAGATGAAGGAAAGCTTAATTTTTCTCACTAAATGGATAAGCTGCTTTCTTGCTGTCCAGACTCCATGTGCTAAGGAAATAAAATGTAGTTTTGCAGCTATTTAAGTCTATCCAGGATGCCCTGAAATAGGTAGTTTTGCCTGTGCCATGCTCTGCTTTCCCACATGGTGGTGCAACCTGGAATCATGCAGCTGTTTGGGAAGCACCCTAGCTAAGTAATCCATCTAGGAATTTTTTTTAAGAGATCGTTTTCTGCTAGATCACCTGGCTGATCTGATTACTACTTAGCCATGTGATCACCAGTACTGATGGAAAAAGGGCAATAGGGGTGCATGGCCAGGGCTGAGACGGAATGCGCAATCTCACCCAGTCTCCTACTTAAGCTGACTGACATCTCACCTTTAGCCTCCACCACCCTCACTAGGCCGCCCTAATTCCCTCTTACGTTCCCTAGAAAGCGCTTGGTTTGTCCTCGGTGTCAAGAAGGTCATTCTGGGGTTCAGAAGTGCTAGCACGGGCAGAAAAGCAGGTGTGGAAAAGGTTATTTTGTGACTTTTTGAAAAGTGGGGCTGACTTCTTTTTCCTTCGTAAGAAATAGAAAATGTCTTAGAAAGCAGAATTTGGACCCCCAAAGGAAAAATATTCAGAAGTTTTGATTTTGGTTAAAAAGGCATTATTTTGGGAGAAAGATAAACAGGAATGTAAAAAGCTGCTTTTCTGCCAAAGTATGTTCTTTCTGCAATGGAGTTCAACTCTTTGCTCAGCAACACATGGATGGCTGAGACACGTTTTACAGAAGAGAAACACAAGGGTAGAATTTCTGTAATTTTTTTTCCCCCCCATTCACTGACAAACTCGTCTCTGGACTAAGTGAGGAAACTTGTTGCTTCTCTTGAAGAGGTAGGAACAGGTACTTTGAGGAATGCAGTGTTTAGGGTTTGGCCTTTGTGTCTATATTCAAAGGGATAGGGTACAAAGAAAATGGGGAGAGGCAGTGGGGAACACGTTTGCTGAGGAGAGGCTGATGAAGACGGAAACTAATACACAAGATAGAAAGACAAGAAACAGCTGTTTGCAACTCAGTATATCTTAGTAGCATGCAGCATAAATACTGCCTATTGAACAGAGATGTTCCTGTATATTGAAATTTCCCCTTACCAACCTCATCTTACACATAGTGTAAGCACTACCACAAGAAAGCTGGCCACTGAGAAATGAACCAACAGAAACGAGGGAGAGCTAGGATGATGTTGCAAGCACTGTAAATATAGGTGAAGAAGGAGCAAGATAGTGACGGGAAGTTAAACTTTATCGCTGATGAAACTGTATGTGGATTTTCACCAGTTTTAAACACAGCATTCACCAGAATCAGGATAGAAAGCATCATGAAATAACAGCCTCCATTTACAGTAAAAAGCTGTATAACTGTTACTCAGCAGAATGTGACCTTGTGCAA